TGCCTCTCCTTTCTTCTCTTTCCTGTCCCAGCTGCAAAGAGACGAGCATCTTCTTCTGCCATGCTGTCCTACCATAATGTACTGCCTTGCCACAATCCCAAAAGTCACAGGACAACCAACCATGGACTGAAATCTCCAAAACTGTGAGCTGAAATACACCATTCTTCTTTTTTTGTTTTTGCTTTTTGAGATAAGGTCTTGCTATGTAGTTCAGACTGGCCTTGAACTCACTATGTAGCCCAGGCTGCCTTTGAACTCAGTGATCCTCCTGCCTCAGCCTCTGGAGTGCTGGGGCTACAAGCGTGCACCATCCACACCCAGCCTCTTCTTAAACTGATCAGCTCAGCTTACTTTTGTCAGTGACAGCTGACTAATAACTATAATTCAATTATTCTTATTTTACAGATGAGAAAACACAGGATAAGAAATATATTAAAAGTCACGCCAAGTAATAATAGAGCTAGATGTAGAACCTCAGCATTCTGGCCTGAGTTCATGCTGTCAATATATTTCTAGTAAAAATCATTTTATTTCTAAGCAAGACTCTATTCTCCAGTTTCACTTGAGTACATAAAATCAAATGATAAGTACAATGTATCAAATGATAAGTACAATGTATCACCTCAGGGCTCTGGGCATAAGTCTGGGTTCAATGTCTAGTACTACAAAAAAAGCAAAAACTGTTATAAAATGTATCGCTTCAACAGGGATACATTCAGGAAGTAAACACACCTACTGAGGAATAAATAAGGAATGATACCGGAACAGTTTTGATAAAGGAGTTTTAAGTGTATTTCCCAGTGAGTAGTCAGAAACTAAAGACCTTGCTCATCCTCCGTGCACTGCCAGTTATTTAGATGAAATTTTGCTTTAGTTGAGATAGTATGAAGTGTTTACTGCCACCAGTAAAACTGGCAAATTGCTTGGATTCTGAACTAAATTTACATATAAGAGTATGGTTAAGGGGTCACTGTAAACAGTTCATTTGTTGACAAGCATTTTTACTGGTGTAGAGGACAACTGTGCAAGAGTTTGACATCAGTCTTTTCAAGGAGGGAGACAAAGTTCACAAATAGAAAGAGACCTGAAACTAAAGGAAAACAAGTAGTAATTTATGTACCTTAGAAAGGGAAGGTAGAAAGTCATTTCAAGAAAAAAAACCTGCCAGGCATGGCGATGAATGCCTGTAATCCCAGCACTTAGGAGGCTAAGGCAGGAGGATCTCAGTGAGTTTGCTGCCACCCTGAGCTACATAGTGAGACCTTGTTTCAAAAAAGAAAGGGGGGGGGGGCGGAAGAGCACAGGTAAAGCGATTCAGATGTTGGGGAAAAGGGCAAAGAAAGCTAGATACCAATAAGTATGTATGAAAAGAGAGAGAGAAAGAGAGAAGGAAAGAAAGAACAAACAGCTGGATGTGGTGGTGCATGCCTCTAATCTTAGCACTCTGGAAGGCTGAGGTAAGAGGATCACTGCAAATTCAAGGCCAGCCTGTTCTACATAGTAAGTTCAAGGCCAGTCTGAGCTACACAGTGAGACCCGGTCTCAAAACAAAACAAACGTTGTCAAGTAAGCAGACTTATTAGCACATCCAAAAAGGAGAAAAGGGGGAAAATATCAAAAGAAATGTTAGAGGAACAAGTTACCACCTTTTCCCCTACGCTGCAATCATCTCCTTAACTGGTTTCCCTTACCTTTTGTCCCTCTGAAGTTTTCTCCATGGGGTAGCCAACTACACCGTAGTATCCTTTTTCAGTTCTCCAAACATCTCATGCTTCTATTTGATTTCCTTTGCCTAAAAGTCTCCTATTCAAACCACCCTGATTAGATCAAATTCTCAATTTTATAAATAACTCCGTTGTTGTAGATGAAAGCTGTAATTTTGCAAGTTGTTATTTGATTAGTGACTCTCACTATACTGGAGACTCCACGGAAAAAACATGCTTTCTTCTCCCTGTCTCCTGTACTGTTGTGCCTCTCAGTGCAGAGCCTACAACATAGCAGGTGCTCAATAAGTATGTGTTGAATTAATGTACAAAGAAAAACCTGCAAAAACAATCCACAAGTAGAAAAGGGGTATGAGGCAAAGGTAAGTGAATAGATGGAAAAGAAATGCATCAAAGAGAAAAAACAAAAAATTCAATACAGACCATGGCCTAAAGAAATTCATGCAACTTTAGCTGGGTGTGGTGGCACACACATGTAATCCCAGAACTATGGTAGGCTGAGACAGGAAGATTACAAGCTTAAATCCAGGCTAAACAATTTATAGATTTAGCAAAACCTGCCTTGAAAAAAATAAAAAAAAGCACACTGTGAAGGCCCCAAGATCAACCCTCAATATTGAAACAAACAACAAAAAAAATACAACTTGAGTTTCACAAACTAAAGTACAATAGTAGACAGTGAGTGTCCTTTTCCCTAAAGTATAAAAGGAATTAAAATTAGAATTTCATTTAGTAGCTTGAAGGATATATACATATTTTTAGAACAAAGACGTCAAACAGGCACCTCAGAACTTACATAACCAAGCAGCACTAACTTCCTTCTCATTTCTCTGACAGTCTACCCCTTCAGTAAAAATGGCATTATCTCCCAATGCCACAGGCCCAAACCATGAGGCATCTTTGATTCCTTCCTTACTCTGATCCTCACAATACAATCCATCAATAAGTCTTGCAAGCTCCACATACAAACATATCAATCTATCCACCTCTCTTCCCCAATGTCCACTGCCACCATCCTAATCCAAGCCACTCTCACTTCTAGACTGCTACAATGTCCTCCTAATTACTGTAATCTCCCTACTTTTACTCTTGCTCAAGCACCAGCAGTAGTGGTTTTTCAAGATAAATCATGACACCCCATTGTCTCAAACTCTTCAATGACTTTCTACTGCTTATAATGAAATAAAAATGCACAATCCTGTCCAACAGCTCTTGGGCCTTTCACGTCACTCTCTCCTTTGCCTGCTACATTTCAGCTCTAATGATTTTTTAAATTTAACAAATGGAACCATATACTGTATCACCTATACCACTCTGAAGTCTGCTCTGTTATGAAGTCTCACAGTTAAGGTTTTAACCTGGTTAAAGTATCAAATTCATCAAGGATGTCTTTCCTGACTTGAACACTATAAAACAATTTTTCATTATTGCTCTGCATTCTCCTGCAGCCTTTATCACACTCTTTACAATTTATCATTTCATTAATAATGAAAATATTCTAGGTACAAGAAATATGATGATAAAAAGAACTCATTGCTTTGACAGAGCTTATATTTTAGTAGGGCTGAAAAATAAGGAAAATAAACCTATGCAAAGTGTTGATATAAAAAATAAAACATCAGGTCAAGGATTTAGCTCAGTGGCACCAATGTCTACCTGGCAAGCACAAGGTCCTGGGTTCAATCCCCAGTATATAAAAAAAAAAAGTCCAAGTTATGCCACGTTTGTACATGTGTGCATGCGTACTTGTGATACCATGATATTTTACAGTCATAAAGAGGGTACATTATTTAGGTAATACTGTTTTAAATGGATTATTTTTTTCTTATTGACAGCTTCTCCTACTAAAATATAAGTTCTAGGAAAGCAGGGACTTTGACTATCTTATGCTCTCTTGTATTCACCTTGGTACAGTGCCTAGCAGTATAGGCTTCTATAAATATTTGATGAGTGAATGAACACCTACTTCACCTTTTCAATAAGTCTGGAGAGAATGAATAATGTGAATGCTTTAACATTAAATCCTAAAAACCTATGCGGGGAATATTGTAAAAACTTATAATGAAAACACAAAATGTATGGCAAACTATAGTGGAATATTTTTATTATTAAAAGGCTAAGGAATCAAAAAATCATGGAAAATTAGTATTAGTACCATATCATTCATTTATTTAGAAAGATTCAGGTCAGTATATGAACACTGATTATAAGAAACTAAAGTTCTTCCCTTCTCCTAGGCTCACATTGTATTATACCCTAAGGAAGAATAAAAGCAATAGTTTAAAATTTACATCTGCTCTGTTATCATTTGGCTTTACTGTAGTCTTTTATCCTCCCTAGTTCATCCCATCAGAACTTAAACTGAATCAGAACCTCATAGAAACCTGAGATTTACCATAACACAAAAGTATAGTCATCTCCACAACGAATACAGTTAACAATTGGAAAGTCATCTTTTGAGTTTCCAATTTCAAAATCAAAAACACTACACAGAGGATCATGTGTAACACAAACTACATTACTCTCAGGACTATTCTGATCAAACAGGAATGGTGGTAGTTTAAAACGAACAGAGGAAAAACTCACAATCTCTCCTTATCTTATTTGGAATCGCACATAAAAACTCTCACCACTTTTAGATAAAGGCTGTCTCGCTTTTCTTTTCTTTCCTTTGCTATGCTCTAGCAGGAAAAATTAAAGAAAATTACTTTCCCCCACATTATTAGTTTCTATTCAACCACTAGACTGAGAACCCATTTCTAACACTCTTACAGAATCTGTTAGTACTATTCTTTTTGGAGACAGAGTCTCATTATGTCAAGAAGGGTCTTGAACTTAAGTCTACCATACCCCAGGCTGGCCTACAACTCCGTAGCGATCTTTCTGTCTCTCCCTCCCGGGTGCTGGGATTACAGGTGTATGCCACCAAGCCTGGCCTAATGTTCTTTCTTAATTTTTAAATTAAATTTTACTTTCTTAATTCAGTAATGTTTCTAAATGGATACTATTAAAATTATCATGTAGATACACTGCATGTGTAAGAAATTTTCGCAACCAGAAACAGTGTAATCTCAGATACTCAAGAGGCTGTGGCAGAAAGAACGGTAAATTCCAGGCCAGCCCGGGCAACTTAAGTTTCAAACCGCTTCAAAACACAAAAAAGAACCCTCCAACACATACACACAAAACAAACTCTGCAAAATTATCTGAAGAGTAATTATTTTAAACAAATACTCCCAGATTCATTTCCCTGAACACAGTTATCAACTCAGTTACCAGTGTAAATACTGCATCCGTCGTCAAAGTAATGGGAAAGTTCTTGGCCCACAACCATGAAACTGAGCTGTGTTTCTGCGGTCCTCATACACGCGCGGGCAAAAGGCCGACACTGTGGCCGCTACCACGGTGCCCGACGGAGAGACCGACCGAGGAGCTTTTCAAGCGGGGCTCGGTCCACCTACGGCCAGGGTCTGACTTTCCCTCCCGCGGGAACGGAGGAACACCCCAACTTTCGGCGACTGTCTCCACGCTCCCGCCGCGCCCCACCGCCTCACTTCTGCGGAGGCGTCTTTGGGGAAGCGCACTTGCTGCTGCCGGCCGGGCCGACAAGGAGGCCCGCGCCCCGCCGAGCGGCCCGATCCGGCCGCGCCGCAGAGCGCCTACCCCGAGCGCGGTCCGCTCCACCCAGTCCGCCTGGGTGGCTCCTTCAGGCCCCCCGACCCCCGACGCCCGCCGGGCCGCGCCCCGCGCCGCACACGCCCCATACCGGCGCCCGCGGCAGACGCACCTTCCAGGAACGCCACCTCGCCGGCGCGGCCGCCGCTCCGGCTGGCCGCCATCTTCCTCCGCCCACGCCGCCGCCCTCGGCCCGGCCTCGCCGCCGCCCGCCAGGAACTGGGGCCGCAGCGGGCTGCGGGCGCGGGGCAAGGGCTCGGCGCCGACACAAAGGCGCGCGCGCGGACGGCCCCAGCCCGCCCGTCTTCTCCTCAGGCCTCCGCGGCCGCGCGCCTCAGCGACGGCGACTATGCTCCCGATCCGGTCGCTCCCTGCGTCCACCGCCCATGCACGGCCACCCGGGCCGAGGCGACGGGGAGGGGATGAGAGGAGGCCGTGCGCGCGCACGCCCAGTCCGCGCCGTAAGATGGCCGCGCCGCGCGCCAGGAACAGGCCTCCGCGGCCGTTGGGCGCCGCAACCCTCGCTCCTCCCGTCACCGCCCCAGCCCGGCGAGAGAGCCCGGCCGGCCAGTGCGGAAAAACCCCCCGTCGGCCCGATGCCCCGCCCACACAGCCCCCCGCCCCGCGAAGCCCCGCCCGCCAGGCGTGAGCGCCAGGCCGGCCGGTAAAGAGCGAGTCCGCGCCCCGCAAGGCCCCGCCCCTCAGGACCCCGCCCCCGCCCCGGCTCTCGGGTCCTTGGGGTCCGCGCTGGGAGCGTCTCTGGCGACGGGTTGTGTGGGTGTCGGGAGCGCACTTCTCGGCCCAGGCCTGAGGGGCGCCGCTGGGGAAGCTGGATGACCACAGGTGCCCTCAGAGGAGTTGCGCCCCTGTGTGTGCCAAAATAACTTTCCAAAACAGCCGTTCAGAAAAGACCCTGCCGGTGTGCAAGCGATGGCAGTGTTGGAAGCGGACCTTGGTGGTGTGCAGTATGTGCCTGACCTTGCAAGAACCGCAGCCTACTTTAGTCGGGACTTGTAAGCTGAGATGATGACTGTCTTAGTTACTTTTTCCTCCCTGAGACACAGTTACGACTCCCACAACTGTGAGGAGGAGAAGCTTATTTTGGCTCACAGCTCGTAGAGGATTCAGTACCCAACTGGCTGGCTTCTGACAGAGAGTAATTGCTGGGGACCAGGCCGGAGGAGGGACGGCGCCCTTCCAAGCCACCCCGCGACCCACCTTCTCCCACCAGGTCAGTTAGCTATCAACTCATCGGTGCACGCATCCACTCTGAGTACTGCACCCCGCGACCCAGTCATCTCCCCAAAGCACCCCAAAGAGCTCATGAAGCTTTGGAGGATGCCTAGATGCACAGTAAACCACAATTCTGTCGCATCAGGGTTCTTCTTTTCATCCATGAAAATTTGGAAAATAGAGAAAATGAGAAGTTACCCCAGTCTCTCCACTGAAACTCAGTTCCTTTATAAGAGGAAGGAGCGGAGTGGTACTGGCTTAGGACATTCGTATTAAGCTGTATCGGGGGCCCCCTTAAAAAAATTTTTAATTTTGAGCCAGAGTTTCAATAAGTTATAAATTACCCAGGCTGGGTTTAAACTTGCAATCCTTCTGCCTCAGCTCCCAGTGTGCTGGGCTTATAGGCCTGTGCCACCGGGCCTAGCTTTATTTTTGTTTGAGAATGGATATTGAAGGACTTAAAAAAAAAGTGCTGATTGGAATAGTAACTGTATATATGTTAAGGAGCCAAATTTCAGCCAGGAGATGTGACATACCTCTAATCCTAGCACTCTGGGAAGCTGAGGCAGGAGGATTGCAAATTGAGCTCAATTTGGGCAGTTTAGCGACTCGGAGAGACACTGTCTGAAGAAAAAAAAATTTAAAAGGTCTAGGGGTGGAGCTCAGCGCAAAGGCCCTGTGTTCAGTCCCCAGTAACCGCTCCCCCCTCCCCCCAATACACACATTAGCCGGTCTGATGGCCCAGGTCCCAGCACTCCAGACAGGAATGAGACAGGAGGATCCCAAGTTTGAGGTCGGCCTGTACTACATAGCAAGACCTGTTTAAAAAAAAAAAAAAAAAATCCTCATATCAGTAAAAAGTCTACAGCAATTGAAATGATTGTAGAAAACAGATCACAGTCTTCAGGGAATGAACTGTTCTAATTCAGCTGTCCTCTTAACCAAGGCTTAGGCAGAGAGCCTTTTTGTTTAAAACTTCTTTTAATACCGTTTCCGCTAATGAGTCAGTAATCTTTCCCTGATTTGTTGAGTAGTAGAATGAATGTATGTATTATAATGTACCTTTCCTGCCTGAGGAATTGCACGGTCCTGTTGTGGTGCTCTGTGACAGTCTGTGCTGGTGACAATATGGTATCATAGATAAAAGGCAGCTGCAAGTATAGACTCCCAAAGGTAAAGAGAATTAACCTCTCACTTAAAGTATGCGTGTGCTGGCTTTGCTAAAGGGCAGGTGCCAGGAGTTATGGAATGTGGATGGCTGGCCTCAGGGAGCAAGGAAAGGCCAGGAGACTGACTCCTGGGACAGGTTCTGGAAAGGAAAACTGGCACCTCGATTTTAGCCCAATGGGACAGATGTTGGACTTCTGACCTTACAGAGCTTTAAGATAATAAATCTGTGGGAAATTGGCAAATTAGTGGTAAAGTCACTTGGTATAGCAGACATAGAAAACTAACACACATGGAATGGTAAGCCCGGTAGAGTTGCCTTTTAAGCAAACTGAATAAGATTTTTTTTAGGCAAAATCTACGGTTTTATTTTTGGGTGTTATCAATTTCAGCTAGTATGTATGGGGCCCCATAATTCCAATTGTAAAGGAGAGGTATGAATTATGATTCTCAAACTTTAGTGAGCATAATAAGGGGTGGGGCTGTTGAAACATTACCACACCTCCAAAGCGTGTGACTCAGTAGGTCTGGAGTGAGACCACAGAAAGTGCATTTCTTCCCCTTCTCTTCCCTTCTCTTCCCTTCCTTCCCTTTCCCTCCTCCTCTTCTCTCTCTCTCTCTCTCTCTCTCTCTCTCTCTCTCTCTCTCTCTTTTCTCTCTGTCTCTGGTGGTATTGGAGAGTGAACCTAGGACCTTCACCCTGGGCTACATCCTCAGCCCTCAAACTTTAATTAACATAAAAAAATAAGCATAATGGAAAAAAGCTAAACTATTTTAGGTTTGAATAGATGGGCAAATAAGTGTTATGGCTTGTGTCTAGAGGTTCCCCCCCCAAGCCACATGCAGGCAGTCATAGGTGGGGTTTTTCCAGAGGTGGCTGGATCTAGAGTATGACGCTGGAATTGATTCATGGTGCAAAGCTAGGCTCAAGGGCATTGGGATAAGGGTGTGAGTGCTGACCACCCTGAGTAGTCTGGATAAGATAAAAGGGGCAGAAAGATGCTGTTAAGGTCCCTTGTTGCTTTTGCTGACTTTAATGTAGTGAACTGTTTCTCCTCTGCTATGCCTCTCTGCCATGTGGCACCCTGCCTTGGGGTCAGCTAACTATGGACTGAGACATCTACGAACTGTAAGCCACATAAACCCTTAACTTGTGGGTATTGGGTATTTTTTTCCTCAGCAATGAGAAAAGTAACTAAGACAATAAGCCATTTTGGTTTTCTTCTAATGATTCCATTAAAGAGAATTTGGAAGGCTGGGGAGGCAACTCAGTGGTAGAGTACTTATCCAGCAAGTTTGAGGTCCTGGGTTCAATCTTTAGGAGAGAGGGAGAGAGAGAGATTGATTTGGAAAAGAGGAAAGGAAAAACAAGGTCCTGCCAATCAAAAATTTTTTCCAGTCAAAAAATGTAAGCCCAATGCCATATGTTCTCTAATGTCTTTTTATTAATATACTTAGATCATCTGTTCCCAATGTCGCACCCTGGACCTACTTCCCTTCCAAGCTCAAACATCCCATCTACAGCCACAACCCCTAGGCCATTTTCAGTCCTACTGTGGTCTCTAAACTACTGATGCCTCCATATTCTATCTTTTCTCTCTAGTTTAGCCTTCATAGTACCTTATTTCATTTCCTGTTTTTTGATTATATGTTCAACTCTTCCTGCTTGAAGGTAGGCTAAAGACCCCCACAACTGCCATTATCAGAAACACCAGTATATGGTGGGAGGGAGGGGAAAGATGTGGTACCGAGTTTCTGCAAGATCTCTGCGGATTCCCAGCAAAGACACAAAGATTTCTCCTATTTATTAACCCATCTCTCACCCTCAAATCCCATATCTCCCTGGAGCTGAGAACCTGATTTTTGAGCAAATCTCCCTATTCTCCATTCCTTGGCCACTGAATAAAGCCCTTCTTTCTCCCCAGCCCTTGTCTCTTGACATAAGTTTTGTCATAGGATGAGTTCCAGCCCTGGGTTTGACAACGGATCCACTAAAACATCACAGCCCCTACCTCCCGTGAGCCTTTGGCTGCGGCCTCCCACAGTGCTCTCTGGTTGGTGTGTGCTTCAAATGTCCCGAACAGCTTCTTCAGTCCTTTCCCCACGACTCTTCCCAGAATTCCTTCCTCTCAACTTCAGACAGAAATACATGATATGAGATGGGCATTCCTTTCGTTTATCAAAACTATCTGATCTGTACCCACTTACTCTATTTCCTACTTTATAACAGAAACAGAGACCTTCCTCCTTTAAATCAATGCCTTTAGGTGTCCCTATGAGTTCCATGTCAGTGCCTTCTCAATTCTGTATTTCCACTTCCTTCAGTTCACTAGAATTTTTCTTAGA